AGGTGACTCTTTTAGATCCGTTGAGTGATATAAGAAACCCAACCCCTGAGCATTTCCCTCGTGTTCTCGATATGTCCAAGTTTAAGGTTCGCGAAATGGGTTGTGAATTCAAGCTTCATTATTTCAATACCGTTGGTGATATTGTAGACAGTTTATACTTGGAGAAAGCTGTTGTCAAGTATCTTGATTGTGATGTCGAGTATAAGTTTGTGTTGCTTACGATTCATGTTTCTGGGAAGTTAGCTGTGTATAGGTCTTGGGATCGAGCATGGACTGTGATTGATGACATGCCTTCTCCTTATGATGATGTGTTTTTGTTCGATGGACGTTTCTTTGCTGTTGATAACAATGGGAGGGCTGTGACTGTGGATTACAGCTCTTTGAAATTGACCTTGGTTGCAAGTCCTGTGTTTGGTGGTGATAAGAAGTTTTTGGTTGAATCTTGTGGCGTAATGTTGCTTGTCGATATGTATTTGAGTTTAGAGGCAGCTGATGGGGATCCTGGATTCATAGAGGAGATCTTTGAGCATCCTGCGTTTTATATGAATGAGAGAACGGTTAAATTTAAAGTCTTTGAGTTTGTGGAATGTGAGAAGAGTTGGGTTGATGTTTACGATCTTGAGGATAAGATGTTGTTCCTTGGTGATGACTCCACCTTTTCCGCTTCAGCTTTTGATATTTTGCCTCTATGTGAGGGAAGCTCCGTGTTCTTCAACGGTAATGTCTTCAACGGGGAAGACTTGGGCGCAATGCAAGATCGAGATTTGGGAGTCTTTGATTTCAACAGTGGGAAAATAGAGCTGGTGCAAAAAATCCCTGAATATGCCAAGCTGTTTTGGCCTCCACCTCCTTGGATTACTTCTCATGAGGTCAGTAGTTTTGAATCTCTTAACACCTGAAGTTCCCTGTTTCTAGGATCGTTTGCTTATAGTTGTGTTTACACTACCCTATATTTGCATCTTCTGGCTATGGAAACTCTGTGACATTATGCTTGTATCCCTCTGCATCTCTTGACTTTGCAATAGTATTTGAAAACACATTGGTTTCTTGTCAGTTTCATAACTGCTGCTTGTCTCTAACCGCAACATTGGTTGGGACTGTGAAATGCATCTTTTATCCATTTTTTCCACGTTAGTCTCATTCAATTATGTTCAAATATGTGTTCATTGCTAATATGTGAAACGTTTACCGTCTCAGCGTGCCGAGGATCATACTGGGGAAACATCATCGGAATCTTGAAAAACTTTTCTATAATCCCGAGTTGAGGACCTTGGAGATGCTATGATTGCGGAGGTTAATCTTGCTGAACACTAGTGAGATTGAGAACCCATAGAGACTACTACAACTTGAATCACATGTTTATGTTTTTATCTCTTTTCCAAGCTTTTCACTAGCTTGGCGTACATAAAGAACCTTTCTTTGTAATCTTTTACCAAGGAACGACGTTTGTGACAGGACAAACTTACTTTGTAAATTCATATACGTCTTTTCCTAAGTAAATTATTAGTTTCGAATCTAATCATTTGTGTGAAAATCAGTATAACAAATTCTATAACTTGAATTTGATGATGTCATGATGATGTGACGACAGAGCTAAACCAAAACAAAAATGGTCATGGCATGGAATAAACCGGGTACCAAATTTCTTAACCGAAATCCGGTATTCGGCGTATTGGTGTGTTCACGCGCAGTGAGTGGATATGTTGGAGAAAGGATTTACGGCAAAACAGAGGCAAACTCGTTACGAATTGAAAATGGCGGCTTTGGTCCAGACCGTCCATGGTGGGTAACCTCGACTCGTAAACTCTCTATGTCTTGTATGATTCTTTCGAATTTCATAACTAGGGTTTGAAAGTTTTCCCCTTTTCTGATTACCAGTTATTGTTTAGTAGTAACGAGAAGACTAGAACTGATAAAAACAAAATCTTTGGCTTCTCTGTGTAGTATTATTAGTTACTGTAATTGATTGGAATTGAATTGAGCATTGTGGCATTAAGTGTTTACAATATACTATGCAGGTGTGGTTGTTACCAGAACGTTGTCTCTTGCTTATCCTGCTACCTTTGTGTCCAGACATATACCTCAGAACCAGATGATAAGCAGCCATAACAGACAGTTCCTTTTTGCTTTGCCTCAAAGGCTAAGCCAAGGTGTCTGTCAAGACCTTAGCAATGTGTCATGGACCTACAGAACGAAAAGGGAGGTTCTGTGCAAGGCCGGAGCAGTTCCTCTGATGAAACAAGGCCACCAGTTTCTCTCCTCCCTGTCGTCACCAGCCTTAGCTGGAGATCCGCCAGCGACAAACCGACTCATTAAGAAGTTTGTGGCTGCTTCTCCCAAATCAGTGGCTCTCAATGTCCTCTCTCATCTCCTCTCGGATAACACTTCTCATCCTCATCTCTCCTACTTTGCTCCTCAGTTGTATTTGGAAATTACTGAAGCGTCGTGGTTTGATTGGAATCCTAAACTCATTGGTGAACTTGTTTCTCTGCTCAATAAACAAGAAAGATTTGTTGAATCGGAAACTTTACTTTCTACTGCGGTTTCAAGGCTGGAGTCAAATGAACGAGACTTTGCTCTCTTCCTATGCAATTTAGTTGAATCAAATTCTAAACAAGGATCTATACAAGGATTCAGTGACGCCTGTTCCCGTTTGAGGGAGATAATCCAAAGATCGTCATCAGTTTATGTCAAAACTCAAGCTTACAAGTCTATGGTTTCTGGATTATGCAACATGGACCAACCTCTTGATGCGGAAAGAGTTATCGAGGAGATGAGAATGGAAACAATAAAGCCGGGGTTGTTTGAATACAAGTCTGTTCTATACGGGTATGGAAGATTGGGGTTGTTTGACGACATGAACAGAATAGTTCACAGAATGGAAACACAAGGTCACAAAATCGACACAGTTTGTTCAAATATGGTTCTTTCTTCCTATGGAGCTCATGATGCTCTTCCCCAAATGGGATCTTGGTTACAGAAACTGAAGGGTTATAATGTTCCTTTATCAATAAGGACGTATAACTCGGTATTGAATTCTTGTCCTACAATTATCTCACTGTTGAAAGACTTGGATAGCTGTCCGCTTTCTCTTTCTGAACTGCTTCCTATTCTGAATGAGGACGAAGCGCTTCTGGTCCGCGAATTGACTCAGTCATTAGTTTTAGACGAAGCAATTGAGTGGAACGCGGTGGAAGGTAAGTTGGATTTACATGGTATGCACTTGAGCGCATCGTATTTGATAATGCTACAATGGATGGATGAGACTAGACTTAGATTTAGTGAAGACAAGAAGTGTGTGGTTCCTGCAGAGATTGTAGTTGTTTCTGGATCCGGAAAGCACAGCAACGTAAGAGGAGAGTCACCGGTTAAAGCGATGGTTAAAAAGATAATGGTGCGAACCAAAAGCCCGATGAGAATTGACCGGAAGAACGTTGGTAGTTTTATTGCCAAGGGGAAAAATGTAAAAGAATGGTTATGCAAATGAAAGTTCATAACTGTGACTTTTAATATCATAGGAGTCCACAAGGTCTTAGTTCCCACATTCATGAATTCACAACAAGACCAAGATGTAGTAGAGAAGAGTACATATGATATGGTATTATGGTTAAAAAAGTGTAATAGATTAGATGCTTCTTACTGTATTTGGGAAGTTTCGTTGATGTTGTGTTGTGATGTGTTCTGTTTATTGAATAATGTTTGGCATTTGAAGACAAAAGCTAGAAAATAAAGTAAGCTTTTAAGCAGTTTCCGAGAAACTTTCATTTGTTTGTCCATATTATATGTATACATCCTTCATAGCCCCCACTAGTCGAAGTGTCGAACTCACTTGTGTTGTTTGGTCTTTTGGTAACAAGGAAAAAAAAAATATATATAAATATATATATATATATATATATATATATATATATATATATATATATTTAATATCTTACAAAGATCTACTGATGTAGATTCATTGGAAAATACCAGAATTATTCGAGATTTTTTTGTTCTTTTGTTTTTGTGTTTCTACCATGAAATTGAGGTTTGAGTGATGTGTTGAGTTCTTATAATGCAGTTTTTTTAGTTTTTGTATTTTGGGTTTCTACTCAAATTTAAGTTGTAAAATCATATTAACACTCTTAAATCTCTTTACAATCCATGCACTTGTTGTAACAGTTTTTTTTTTTTTTAATCGTGAATTTACATTCATTCAGAAAAAGAAAATCGCGAAGATTCAAAACTAGTAGTAAGCTAACATAGATAGTACAAAACTTATTGTAATATGATAGTTAATAATTTCAACGCAAATTCAGATTATGTTTTACTTTTATGTATATTGGTGGAGGATGAGGGAGGGATACCCCTCAAATACTGCAATAGCAATAGAGTTTTCCATACAATTGGAAGTATATGGAGTCGCTTGATGATAGACGAGGACATAGTCCTATGTCGAGCCAAAGGAAATTTATGACTATAATCTATCCTGCAGAACTTGTTAAGGTTTTCCAAAGAATTTCACAAGTCTTAGAAAATAGAAAGTCCATACCACTAAATGACTTTACTATGATCCCACTAAATGTAGGATTTATAATCTTTCAAAGTTTAAAACTAGTTCATAATATGCATTGTCCACCGTATTCGATGAATTTGAAAACGAGACTGATTTAGCTATTTAAATGTTTACGCTAGTTGCAGCGGACAAATCCATTTGTGAAACATACCGCTTTTCAAGTAATCTATGAGAAAACGGTTTTATACGGTTACAGTTAATATTCTTTTTTATTTTTACGGTTATCGGTTACAATTATTAACCGCTTCATACGGTTATGGTACGATTACAGTTGAAAAACTGTCCGGTTACGGTTAGAAATACGGTTAAGATTAGATTTTGGTCATGCCTACCAACATCCATTAAAACCTTGGGAAATATCTAATTGCACAATGACTAAAGATTCCAACACTAGCAACACCATAAAAGATAAGGAAGATAAGAATCTAGCAGGACAACAGCATCAAAATATACCAAACTTATATTGATACTACAAGATCTGCCTATAATGAATTACACATGAACTCATAAAAATTCGTGTAAGGTTATGTTATTACACATGATTACTCAAAGGCTTCTTTTCTAAAAACTAAAATGATAAAATTTAGATTATCTTTAAAAGCTTGAATAGTAGGTTTTTCCCAATCATATTATTCATGCGAAGAAAAAAAAAGTAACAACATTTTATTTTTAGACTATAAGAAAATTTAAAAAAATTGTTAACAATTTTATGACTATATGAAAGAATAATTTTAGCTCTACACTTTTGTAGTTAACTTGTGTTTAAAATTTTAGTTATGTAAGCAAATAATCATACTAGTAGTAAGAAAACTAAAAGGGCAAATAGTTTAAAGATTCTTGTCCCACAAAGAAAAAAATACTTCAAGTCTTTGGAGGAGACTTCTCAAGTCAATCTCAAGATTAAAAAAATTGGTGGAAGTCCCACGATCAGAAAAATTTATAATAATATGACAAAAAAAAGTAATTCATTCTTAATTCTTATTAATCATAAAAAGAAAATAAAAGAAACTGCAAAAGAACAGAAGAACCAAACTCAAAACCAAAGCTCTCTCTTGGTCCAATTCTCTCTAAGAAGTAAAGACCATTTCTTAAGATAAAAGCGTGTGGGTTCCTCCACCATTGATCAAGACCTTTCTTCTACTTTCCAAGTAAACACATCACAAAACCTCTAAAGAAGAAAACAAAAGTTTGAAAGAAAATAAAAAAACTTTAATATTCAATATCTTAAATCATTATTCATCCACCTATATCTTTTTTTATTTCATTTTTCTAACTCTTGACTTAGTCTGCACCATCAAAATAATGCCCCATCACACAAAGCAAATCTAACACAAAACACAAAAGAGTCCTAGTTTGTATATAAATGTGCATTGCATCACCTTAAGTGTTAAACCACCACCAACAACAACCTTTTCTCACTACTTACACAGCTTTCTTAAAAAAGAACCAAACTCACTTTTTTGTTAGGGACATTAGTGAGAGAGATAGAGAGATATGGGAAAAGAGACTGAGCTCCCGGGTTTTAGGTTCCATCCTACCGAGGAAGAGCTTCTTGATTTCTACCTCAAGAACATGGTTTATGGTAAAAGATCGAGTGTTGAAGTCATTAGTTTCCTCAACATCTATCGTCATGATCCATGGGACTTACCTGGTATGTTACAAGTAGTAATAATACTTTCTAATACCCTAAAGCTCTTTTTTTGTCTCTAGGTTGTATTAAAAGTCTTGAGTTTTGATCACAGGGTTATCAAGAATACTCGGAGAAAGAGAATGGTACTTCTTTGTGCCAAGGGAAAGGAAGCATGGTAACGGAGGGAGACCAAGCAGGACAACTGAGAAAGGATATTGGAAAGCAACAGGATCCGATCGTAAAATCATTAGCTTGTCTGAGCCAAAACGTGTGATTGGGCTAAAGAAGACGCTTGTGTTCTATAGAGGAAGAGCACCAGGAGGAAGCAAGACTGATTGGGTCATGAATGAGTTTAGGATGCCTGATAATTGCACCTTACCAAAGGTACCTTGAAACACAAGCTCTTGTGTCAAGACCATTACAAGAATCAAGAAAACAACTTTGTTTGCTCATCTTATTTGTGATCAATTTTTTTTGCAGGACGTTGTGTTATGTAAGATATATAGAAAAGCCACTTCATTGAAAGTATTGGAGCAAAGAGCAGAGATGGAGGCTAAGATGAATCAAACATGTCCTAACTCTCCTCTCTCATCATCTGAGACAATCTCATTCATTGGAAAAGAAGAAAACTTGATGATGGCTTCGTTCCGTGCTCCTCAAGAGATAGCCATGGAAGAAGCAAACAAGTTCCTAACGCTTCAAGAAAACGCGAAAAACCAAGAGAAACAAAGAGAGACAGAGACCAGAGACACTTCTTCATCACTTAAGTTGCCTTTTGGAAGCTTACCAGAGCTGCAACTACCTAAACAAGGAGTAGAATGGGGACCAGAGTTGCTGAGTATAAGCCCATGGCTACAGAATCTTACACCAATAGTTAACCTATTAAATTGGTAATATACATATGTAAAAAAGAATAAACACATTTAACTATTATTCAATGTAACTCTGTAAGAAAAAAACAGAGCTTGTAACAAATAATACTATTTACTCAACTTTTATGTATCTTTTTGTAAGTTTGTTATTTGTAACATAAGAAGATTCCATGTAACACTATTGCTAGTCATATTTTGACTATACCATTCAAAATAAAAAAAAGAACCTTAACTTTGAATCAAGTGGACGATCATTTCTCTCAAGCATACACTTTTGAGTGCATGTCAAAATCAATGTAGTTTCCAAGAAGAAAGAAAATAACTATGTAACATCACATTACCTATATGTGGAAACATTGAGCATAGCTCTTGTCCTGATCGGCAAAGTATCATGTCTGGTCCTTACACTGACTTAGTGGGACCTTTGAAGGGATGATCCCACCATTGACCCATTGACTCATTAATTTGTTCATCTTCTTCTTCTTCTTTTGCGTACTTTGCACAATGTGGCTGACTCACTCGGGAAGGTCCTTGTCTAGCTTCCATCCGAATCTGCTGGACCATTAAATTGGGATGATCTTTATGGATTGTCTTGTGTTAAATGGAAACTGGTGAACACAGAAACATAATTTGGAGTTTCTTTGTTGTCGACTTTTCAAGATTCTTGGTGCAGTTTAGAGATTGATGATGACAAATTGCTCTCATATTCCTTAAAGAATTTGTCTTTTTGCAGTTGTTTGTAATATGGTATAGTTTTGTTCTGTATCCGTTAGAGCACTATACAAATTCACACCTAGAGTTCAATTAAATAGAGACCTTGCAAACTTAATATTTTTCAGTTATGACTTCTGCATGGCTACAAGCCTACAAGAGAAGAACGAACAATTTAACTATAAGGAAGTTATCCTTATTTGCATTAACATAATGTGGAGTTGGCTTCTTTTTAGGGTTTTGTTTCCGCAACTCTCTGTAATCATTGTGGTTGCTGTGCAGAATACAGACAAGATCCGGAAGTGAATATAGATTCATGCAAGAATTGTGCTGTTATCATCTTCTAGAACTATACTTACGCGTTGTAAAGTTGCTAGTCACATATATATAATGTGTTGTGGAGGGGAACATTGCATAGACATCAATATGAATAATTTGATATTATAACCTTATCATCACCAAGAGATGCATCATGATCTCTATTTCATGATGGTGTATATAAGTAATGAGCTTTGGGAAGGCAGATAAAAGAGGGTATTTGGGAGATCTAATCCTATTCAAAGAAGAAAGGCGCGAAGAGCTCTTGGTAGAGGTGAAGAAATACTTAGCCCCAAGACATTTCTTGAAGGAGACATTCAACAAAAGTAGAAAAGTCTATGAAGGTTGCAGCAGCCGAAGGAACTTTGTCTGTCTTTGGACAAGCTTAAGCTGTTACAGTTTCTTTGTCTGAATCATAGGATTTTAACAGTTGGTCAGTCATCTCAAAGATAATGAAGAAGAAGAACATTACACTCGAAGCGCAAGCAAACGAAGTCTCAAGGGTTGACTCCGAATTCAAATCCGAGAAGACCGTGACGACCATTGATGTTCAGATTCTAGAGTCATACATTAAAGTTCTTGAAGATGGACTTGAATCACTTTCAAAGTCAGTGATCAAGATTCTCAATATCTAATAGCCTAGCTAGCTAGGTCACTAAACCTACAAATTTTGTGGAGAAAAAATATATAATTACTTGTAAGAAAAGGAACATATATATATAACGAATACAAAATTCTTTATGTGTTCCCATATAAATCTGTTCTTGTACATGATATAAATATAAATATTTCATAAATGATCATTAAAGAACCAAACTGCATTCTATTTTACCTTCAAATTTCACTTTTTATCATTGCAGTGAGACAATTTATACTATGGGCTATGGCAGATGGAAAATATGCGTTTACTTGTTCGACATATATATATATATATATATATATATATATATACTAGAAATAGACCCGCGCGATACGCGAGATAAATTTGATATTATATTTATAATAATTTTAATATATTTTTTGGAAATCAATTTAATTGAAGCAATTAAGTAATTTTCTTCATTTTTATGCACTATCTCATAGAATATTTATTTGATGTTTCAAGTTTTAATATAAAACTAAGTATATATGTTTTGTGATTATTTTGTATTATGCAGATTGTTATCTACTGCATAAATTTTTTAAAATACATTATAAATAAAAAAATTTACAAAAAAAAAACAAAAATTTAAATAATTTTTTTATTTGTATTCAACAAATTCCATCATCAATTAAAATAAGCATTAGAATATCTTTTTATTCAACTACGTTAGGATACTAAGAGTAAGATTTATAGTCTTAGATCACTACAAACAACTCTTTGAACTTGTAATCTATATAAATCTACTTTAGGTTTGTCCCTATGTCATCTTCTTTTTTTGTTTTCAAAAAAATCATTGCTTATGAAATGTTGATTACTTTTTCCTTCGGTCTCTCAAAAAATCATATATTCTAATATTTCATATAGGATAATATTATATAATGACACATTAATTTTTTTTTTTTTGTCAACACAGCTTTATATTAGTCCAGAGCATCAAAATAGCCTAATATTAATTACATATACATTAAAAAAACTAAATCATATGTATTCTTAAAAATAGGTTATGTTAATTAGAAGGAAAAGTCACATACAATTTACCATAGCCACTTTGGTCTCTACCACGATTTCCGAAAAAACATAATATATTCTAATTTAAATGAAAAATTAAAATAATGTAACAATAACATCATGGGAATTTATAAGTAAATAAATTATACAGCAATAATGAAAATAATTAAAAATAAAATTTTAGAGAAGAAATGGAAAATATCAAAATTTTATAGATGATATATTAGGTTAGTACCAGGTAAGCTTTATAATTTATCTACCAAAGTGTTGATTTCTTTGTATGTTTGGATACAAACATAGTGGTCAATTTTATAGCCTTCAAAATATTTTATTTTACACATGTGTTGTTTCATACTTTCTTAATTTATAAGTACGATTAAATTTAAAAATATGTTAGATTTGTATCATACTTTCTAAAAATATTTATATCAAATTCTTAAATGATAATTTCGTTGATTTTATGCCATATAACAACATAAAAATAGAAAAATATTAAAGATACATGAATATAAAGGAATAGGGTGAGGGAATGATTACTTATATGATGATAAACTAAAAAAGAAAGTAGAGATGAATTTTCAAAAAACAAAAATTATAATAACATAAGATGTATATCATATAGTCTCTAATTTATTTACCAAAAATATAGTCTCTAATTTTTTTAACAATTGAGATTTTATAAAAGAATATTTTAATTGTTTTCTAAACTCATACAAAAAAACACAAAGCTATTCTTTTATATAATAATTGAGATAGAGAATTAGAGGATGAGAGAATTAGGGAATTGTAACTTAGAAAATGAGTATATATAGGAAGAGAAGTGATGGGAGTTACAATTTCATAAAAAAATTATGGGAATCAATTATAATTTATTGTGTGATGAAAATTCAATGTAAAATATAGTAAATGCTAATTTATATTATTTCAGTTTTTATATTAAAGTGTGAGTTTAATGTATATGACTAAATGTGTTTTGTGGTTTAATTTTTTTTCAGTTTTATATTAAGTTGTGAATTAAATATAGAGAATTTTTGAGAAATACCCTTTTTGGTGTACCCTTTTCTAAAAATACCCCATTTTCTATCCATTTCAAAAATACCCCTTTTTAAATATAAAAAATATAAAGTTTTATATAGTTTATAAGATACTTCTATATAATAACTACTAATGGGAGATTCGATACAAATATTTTAAAATGTTTTAAATAGTTTTAAATCGTTTTATAAGTTTTATAAGGTTTTTAAAAGGTTTTTAAAAGGGTTTATACGGTTTTTATAAGGTTTTTATAAG